AGCTGGAACTCCAGTCAGTACAGCAACTACTCGACCATCACCTCGGCCATCAACATCGCCTCCATGTTCATTCTGGCACCGTTGTGTCTCAAAGTAAAAGCACTTCAGATCAACTGTTTATTCAATCAACTAATCTTATTAACTTCTCTAGGTATTCAAACTGTCCGACCTGACCGTGGCACTGATCAGCCTTCATATGATGCTGATGCAGAATGTGATTCGCATGCTGAGTAGCCACCTGTGGACCTTCTACGCTGTGATGCCCTTCTACATCATCAACTCACTTTCGATGGTCGGCATGCGATCCTACCTCACAACCGTCGTCGAGAAGAACGAACTAGGCCGTATTTTTAGTCTGATGAGCGCCCTGGACGCCAGCCTTCCGGTCATCTCCTCGCTGGTTTTTGCCCCCCTCTTCCGCCTGACCATCAACAGCCACCCGAACCTGTCCTTTACGCCCATCTGTGTGGCACTTTCAATTGGAATTGTTTTGGTGTACATTGTCTCCTACCAGAGCAAGCGAACGCTGGCCAATGTGAAGAGGGATCGAGAGCAGGCGTTGCAAACTAGACCAGTTAATGGCGGCGAGAAGAGAGCGCCTGATGATGATTTCCAGACCATTGCCTAATCCTCCTCCTCCTCCTCATTTTCCTTCTAATCTCAAATACATTGCTTGCCAAACAGCATTTCTGGTCATCCTTGTACAATCACCACCACCACCGACCACTTCATTTTGCCGAACCAGTTAATCCACCACGAGCTTAAGCTGTACTCCGCCAGTGTTGAGTCTGCTCTCTGTTTTATCGCCATTGATCCACTTGCTCACTTGAGTGAGTAGTTTTTTGTCTTGTAAGCTGCTACTGCTGCTACTAATGTGAAGCGTATCAAGTCTGGTTTTTTAATTTTGGAAAAATCTTGAGCATTGTTATCATTAGTAAATCTAATATGAGTTTTGTAAGACGTCAAAGAGAAGCGCTTATTGGGCTTTTTAGTGGTGGCACTTGAACCGTAGGTCACCGCTCTCATCTAGTTAAAAAGAAAGCAAGGAGCACAAAAGTGATTCTTTGTGGTAATAAAGAACAGGGCTAAAAATAACTTTGCAATGAAAGATAAGTCGCACTAGCAAAAAAGACTGCTGACAGGCAGAATATTCTCTGCACGCGCGCCTTTTTAAAAAAACAGCTTTATCACATTGTTTTTGAATGAGTGTGCGCTTTACTGGCTGCAGGCTGCTTCTACACAAAATGTCACGTTTCGCAGGCGCTGCTGAACAGTTGTCCGTTGGCGGCACACTTTGCCCACTGTCTGTAGCAGCTCTCTCTCTCTCTCCACTCTCTCTCTCCACTCTTGATTTGTTTGTTTGCCCACACCGCCGCCGCTGATAGTGCAAGAGTGACTTTCGGTCTCGTAAAAGGACAATTGCATCAGCCTCACACACTCAATACCAGCAGATTGCCGGTTGTACCTAATCACAGCACCACCGCTGCCTCCACCACCAACAACTCTCTTTCAACTAACCCAGAGGTAAGAGTTTGGACATCGGAACACCTTGAAATTGTGCTGATCATCATTGTTTTGAACTTTAGAAATAATGTCGGAGCAAGAAAACAACCAGAACCAGAAGGAAAGCAGCCCGGCGCCCGCTGCTGCTGCTCCAGCTGCGGCTACTCCTGCCGCAGCCGCCGCCGCCCCAGATGCTACCAAAACTGAAAAGGGCGAGGCGTGTGGATCCACCGGAAAGTGCTGCATCGGAAACTTCTTCAAGAAGAGCTACAGCGAGCACAAGACGGCCTATCACGTGGTGGGCGGCGTGATTGGCGCAGTCCTGGTCTTCCACATCTACTCCAAGATTCGATGCGGAGGAAGCGGTGGTGCTGGTGGTGGTGGTTGCTGCCATTGAAGCGACAACGCCTTCTCTTCTACTTCTTCTTGTCCGGCTTGAGTGACCAGCTGCCTGCTTCGCCACAACAGTAACTTTAAACATATTTTTGCTCGTTCCTTCGTTTACACACACCCACACCACTACTACTTCGTCCACCGCCTTCACACCATTTAGAGCTTTCTGAAAGCATCGCAAAGAGTATTATGCGACTGACTACTTACGTTAGCTTCTTATATAGCCACCATTATCTCTCGCATCGCGGCTTCTTATCGCAAAGAGTAGAGCCAGAGATTTAATTATTGTCCAGAGATTATTATCATTTTTACTACCACTACATTACCAAAGTGATAAGCACAAGTGATGATTTTTACTACTATTAATCGTACACCCCATTCACACACATGTAATGCCCAAACACATCTAATTTATATCTCCTCCTTTTTATCTCATAGAGAATAAAGCAAAGCAAGAACCCCAGGAATACCACAGGAACACTTTGAACACTAGGACTAGAAAAGAACATACAAATGTACTTTCTACAAGTGTTTACCGCTGGCCGCTGGTGCACTCTGGTTACTGCTGCTGACCACTGCTGGGGCCGGTGCTGGCCACTGCTGCACCACAATCAGCGCCGGAACTGCTGGTGCAGCAGTGCTTGAGGTACTGACTGCTACTACCGGGAATGGAGTTGGCTCATTTGTAACGGGCTGACTGCCATTTACCACCACGCTGATGGGCCACTTGATGGTCGGCCAGATGGGCAGGCTGGGAGTGGTGGGAACCAGTGGTGCCTGAGTTGTGGGAGCCTCAGCCGGCATCTCCAGGTCGGCCTTGATCGTCTTGTCGATCCAGTCGGTGTAGGCGGTGACCCGAGTGTACAGGCCGGGCAGTTTGGGCAGGGCGCAACCGATGCCTGCGGAGACGATGCCGATGACGGAAACCCGCGAGGTGATCGGATCGGTGACCATCAGCGGAGAGCCGCTGTCGCCTGAAGAGGAGAAAAAGGGGAGTTTTTTAGAGGGGATCACCTGACCCAGTTCAGTTCAGTCTCACCTTGGCAGGCGTCCTGGCCGCCCTTCTCCAGGCCGGCGCAGATCTGCGTCGGTCGGATGGCGATGCTCTTGCCCTGCTGCTTGTACCACGTCTGACAGAGACCGTTATCTACGAGCGGCAGCTCCAGCTCCTGGAGCGTCTCCGCGGACACGCCGCCCGCCCTCAGTTTGCCCCAGCCGGCCACGGTGGCCCGCTCAAAGGCGGTCGTCTTCAGCTCGGTGGGCGTGGGCAGGCAGATGGGGCGAATGAAGGGCGAGTAGGGCACCTTGAAGGGCAGCTTCACTAGGGCGACGTCGTCGGCGAAGGTGGCGTAGCTGAAGCCGGTGTGGGCGATCACCCGGCTGGCGTTTACCTCCATCGAGGTCAGCTCGGGTGTCGAGGCGCGGCGGTGGCCGCCCAGCTTCACCTTGAAGCGGTTCGCCTTCAGGCGGTAGACGCAGTGGGCGGCCTGGGGGAAAATTTTATGATACTGTACATCAAAAGCTGCTCTTTTTAGGTCTTACCGTGACGACCCACTCCTCGTTGATCAGACTGCCGCCGCAGTGGTGGCGATTGTTCAGCAGCAGCGACACCAACCACGGGTAGCGGCCGTGCACCGCCGTTGAGCCGTTGATGATCTTCGCTCGGCGCATCATCGATCGCGTCCCGCACTGCTGGTCATTGCGCCAGGAGCTCTCAAAGGCGCCATCCGCTACCAGTGCCAGAAAAGAGACCAGGAGAAAGGTGAAAACAAGAAAAGGGGGAGATCCACTGCTGACTAATTTCACTGCCATCATCATGCGGCTCACTGCTGCTCATTAATACCAAAACAAAGTGGTGATGGCCGTACCAGATTGAGATAGAGGAGGAAGATGATGATGATGGCGGCGGCAGTGGCTAAAAGTGGATCAACTGGGAGATGTCATTTGAGGCTTTTATATGGCGTCGTTTGGCAACTCTGTTGCTGTTGCTGCTAGCGGTCATTGGATCAATTGGTTCAACAAGCGGTGGTGTCTGCGCCATTGCCAGGCCTGTGTATCACTGACGCAACTGCACGTCACTGACCACTGCTGTACGGAAAGCGACCAGTGGTGAGGCGGCACATGTCGCCGAAGTTTTTGTGGTTGCTGTGAGTCAGTCAGTCTGGTTGACAAAGTGCGCAGTGAAAGTGTGCAGCGCTAATTAGTGCACTGTCCATCGCCGGTGACACTGAGCCACATCTGCGACCACACGATCACATGTGCTGCTGCTGCTGCTGGTGGCATATGCTGGTGGTGGTGGTCGCAGCCTTATCAGCAGCGGGACATCTTGGCAAACCTCCATTGANTCACATGTGCTGCTGCTGCTGCTGCTGCTGGCATATGCTGGTGGTGGTGGTCGCAGCCTTATCAGCAGCGGGACATCTTGGCAAACCTCCATTGACCAACAACTGCTCACTAGCAACTACTGTCCCACTGACCTTGACGCCTGAACAGAGCTTGGTAGATTCTATCAGAAAAAAGAGTTCAATGAACCAAAATCAATCAGCAATCAAAAAAAGTGAAGGTCACGTCAACCGCAGCGCACCTGTGATCTACAAATGAGCGATAGTAATTTAATTGAACTCAAATAAAAGCTAAACTCCTAGAAAAGAGAAGTAGCCGGCAAATGAAGATGCATTGCCTGAGGAGAGTCCTAGAAGGAGTCACTGATGTCCTCGCTGAATGAGGACGGCAGAGTGCTAAGGCTGTTGCTGTCGCTGAAAATGGAGTTGTTTTCAGAGCCGTCGCTGCTGAAGTTCTCCGAAACTCCGCTGTAGCACTCTTCGGAGAGGACTGCCTCTGAGTCCTGCTCATTCATCATCTGCTGCACCGTTTTCGGTGGCGGCTGCTCTTTCTTCACCTGCGGCGGTTTTGGGGGCGACTGGGCCCCAGCATTACCACCAGCACTGCCGCCCACAACAGGAGCAGGGGCAGTGGCACTAGTGGGAGTGGCAGCAGTGGGCGGCAGCGGCTGCTGCTGCTGCGCCGGCAGACGGACAGTGCCGTAGATGGCACGCAGCTGCAGTTCATAGGCGAAGCGCAGCGTGCGACAGAGGTCGATCACCTCGGCGCAGTCCTCCACCGTCTTCACCAGCATTTCCTTCAGGCGAATGTGCTCTTCCTCACTTCGTTTGTACACCGCCGGAAGGACGTGCACGCGGGCAATGTAGCGCAGGTGCTCCTTATTGGAGTTCAGCGCCCAACTGATCTGCTCGAGGCTGTTTGNCTCGGCGCAGTCCTCCACCGTCTTCACCAGCATTTCCTTCAGGCGAATGTGCTCTTCCTCACTTCGTTTGTACACCGCCGGAAGGACGTGCACGCGGGCAATGTAGCGCAGGTGCTCCTTATTGGAGTTCAGCGCCCAACTGATCTGCTCGAGGCTGTTTGCGAGGACCTTGAAGTTGCTCCACAGCTGACCACCTCCATCTCCACCTCCTCCACTGCTGCCCATCAGCTCGTCCTTGACGGCCATGTCGCCGCGGCTGGGCAGTGATCGGCCGAGGGTGAGCAGGCGTTCCAGCATCACCTTGCCTTCCTTGATCTTTGCCAACTTTCGGTCGATCAGATTCTCCGAAGAGGTCTGTGCAAAAAAGGGAAAATGTGTTAGAGATTTGTGACAGTTTTTTGTGTACAATGCATCATCATTAGCTTACCATAATCTCAATGAGCTTCTCGCAGATGCGCGCCTGCAGCGGCAGCGTCTTGATGGCGTTGGCAAAGTTGCTCAGACGGTAGCTCTTCATGATGCGATTCAGGTGGTAGTCAATGCGCAGCTCCACCAGACTGCCCGACATTTTGTTGCGGTCGGTGAAAGTGACGTGAGAGGCGGGACGCTCGTAGTAAACAACTGTATCAACATTGTTTCCAGGCTGTGTTCCTCCAGCGGCTGAAGTGCCGGCGCCTGAAGTGTTGTTGCTACCAGCACTAGAGTTGTCCACTTGAGACATCATCTCTTGTCTGATTACGACTACTTGAAAATTGCAAAAAGGGGAAAAGTAGTAGCTGTACTAGAACAGTATTCAAAAGCAAAATTACTAAAGAGTGATTGAGTGACAGCGCTGACCGATTTGAACGCCAGAGACTGTCATTGTTTTTCAGAAAGTTCAACAATTCGAACTCGGCTAATGACCAGAAGTTCTAAATTACGAGCTGTGGTAGGATGAAGTTCGAACGTCACATTTCGAACTTCTAGAGCTGG